TATTTGGGCAGGCATACATAGTAATAAGTGACTAAGGTTTCAGTTTCTTTGTTGGAGAAGTTCAAATAAAATTGAAACTATAAGTTAGGGCGATGGATAGGGAGATTCTTAAAAGGTCGGGAAACTTAATAATTCAAATGGTTTCTATATTACGGAGTACATTACTTATGCAAACAGTATAACGATACTTTACAAAAATATTACTCATACGACCTGTAGACCAACAATATCACTTAAAAAAAATAAAATCAATAAGGATATTTAATGCTAAAAATCAGAAAATATACTACCTTTATTGAAGCTAGCAATTACTAGCTAGTCATTGGTATTCCTGTTATATAAAAACCATATCAAATCCGCAATGCAGCTATTGTTTAAATTAGATAATGGACCAGGAGTGTCATACGTGACTCTAATCGCCGGCCTTGGCCCGTTGACTGTCCTGTCCCGTCCAATGTCCGCATTGGCTGGTCTCGGGTTTCCCTGGTTTAAGTGGCCAGCAATTTGTGCCCGGACATTACCATTGTGGCGGCTCAATTATGGGCGTGATTAGCAGAGGCAAGGCGGTCATGCCACCCGTGCATTATAGTGTACACTATACCCATATTTGTTCCCGATAATCGTTAGGTAACACCCTCGCTTCGCTTTGCCTCTCCGGAGCGGCAATTAGACGCTTGCCGAAATCACACACCGATAAATTATTAGCTGTTAAAACGAGGACTCTTAAAAGTTGCCACTTTTTTGGCCGGACTTCCTCGGGTGAGGAGAAAAAAGGATCAAACAAAGAAGGAGAAATGTGTAAAACGGCATCAAATATGCAACACTTTTTCTTTCTCAGCGCCTTGGCAAACAATTGGCCAATTAAGTCGAAAGTTTGCCAGCTTGTAGTAGGAGGGTTTCAAGCCAGCCAGCCAGCCAGCCAGCCAGCTACCTTGCCCACACGCCCCTCCAGGTCCCTGTCCATTGGCCCCAAACCGATGGTCATTGCATGCCAGGCGCACATTTTGTGGCCATTTGCGTGCCGCCTTTTAGTCCTCACTGTGCCCGGGTCTGGGCCGTGGCCAACAAAGGCACTGTTGGTGCGGGGGGGCCATTGCAACTCGTTACGTGTTTTATGCAGATTGCCAAGCCGGCCTTTCCACGGTTTACATTTTCGATTTTCGGCTCTTGCTTTTGCCACTTTTGGCCGCAAATCGCAGACACGTCGGCATCGCCAATTCAATGGAACTCGGTGCAATATTTCATTTTTAATTCGGATCCAAGAGGTGTGGATTTGATTTAGTTGATCGACATTATTTCTATTCCCCAGCTGGGCATTGAGTGGAGAAAGCTGTGCCATTAAGTCCCCGTGAATAATAAAACGAAATTTTCCTTTTCTTTTGGCTTTCATACTTTCATTTATTTTAGGTATCTTCATTGTTCATATATTTCCTTTACTAAATGCCTGTCGAAATCATTGAACGTCTCAGCTAATTAAGTTAATGTAATTACATAATTATTTTAAATTCAATTTATTATATTGGTAACATTTGGTTTTTGCTTCATGGAAGAGAAGAAACTTGTTGGATCACAAAGGTTTTTGTTTTCGTTATCGGTTGGTTTGGTTCAACGACTCAAATACTCAAACGCTCTCTAACGAAATTGGTTGAAGAAATCAAAATATTTTTAATTGAGATAACCAGTTTAAAGCTTATTTACATAGATAAACATAACTAACATTTTTGCAATATACCATATAGTAGATTTCGTTGGTTTTAGGCTTACATAGGTTAGGCTAGATTTCATTTTCATTGCACATGCGCTTTTGGAGCTCTACTTAAGGAGTTATTTTTTCACTTTTTAGTTTCATTTATTTCGTTATTACGGTAAGGCTGAAGACAGAGTATTAAAATTGTTTTATTGTTTAAGAGTAAAAGTTTTTTATAAAATATATTTATCATATATCAAAGTATAGTTAAGTATTTATTCGTAGGTGTATATTACAGTTTACCATTTCATTTTATACAGAGCCACTCGTCCCGAAGACGAGCTTCATTTGAGCTAATAGTATTTTAACAGTACAGAGTTAAGGTAATATATATATTTTTTCGTTTTCGGATTGGGTTTTTTAAAGGTTGTAACTCGAATAATGCAAACACTTGATCCACTAAACAAACTAATTGTATTTATTAAGTTTTTCTCGACGTTTTTTTTTTGTATACTTTGTAAGGTGTATATATATTTGGTTGTATAATTACTAAATGGTATTTGAGTCAATATTTATTATGCCATATGTGGTTCTATGTATATATATTGCAAATTTTCGTAATACTCTACTGCTACTTTAATGGTATATTTATTAATTATTTCCGCATGTCTCTTTGGTAATTGGTCCTTAGTACACTACATAGAAAGCGTTTAAATAATTTTGGTTTCTTGGTATCGTTTTGTTTTCCTTTTTTTTATTTCATAAATATCCATATCGCACCTTTGGACTCTCCGGACACAGCATCGCACTTATGGCTTCATCTCAGTGGAAGAAAAGCGACAGGGAACCGAGAGGGGGACGTTCGACCTAGGCCCATTTAAAGCAAACACCTATATCCTTTATCCTGCAAGAGTGTGTGGGTGTTGGACCCAGAGCAGCAGCAGCTGTCCTTTTACAGGCAGCACAGCTGTGACGACCTTTCAGGCTAAAAATAAGCGCCTTTACACGAATACAAACACACACACACACAGTGTCCAGGTGTAACTCTGTTCACCTGTGTGCTCGCAGTTCGCCAGTTAATTGTGGACAGGCTAAGCCAAACATTGGCATGATTTTGACTACACTTTAAAACAAGGATACACTTTAAAAGAAGTTTATGAAAAAATTATAAAGTTAGGCAGTTTGAAAACCTTTTTTGTAAAAGTCAACCCCTCCTTTTAACCTACACTTTTGATTATTTTCCCTTGTCAGTAATTGGTAGAAAGTATTTCTTTCAATGGAGCGTCTAAAAACGCGGACGAAACGACGTAAAAAGCTAAAACCGCCAGCGTCGCACATAAAAGTGTCAGGCAGACATAAATTTATTTTGGCTTGCAATTTTCCAACACCAGCACACATCACTGCCTACCTGAGTGGGTTGTGGGTAGCTATGTAGGCTTGTAAGTACGTAGGGTTTATGTTTTTGCGGAGCCTATTTTGCGACCATCGCGGCTTTATTATTAAAATTGCCCTGAAAGTTGGACGGGGGAAAAACTCTAAACCATGGGGGATTGCAAATGGTATTTTTTTTATGTCCTTCTATATTTTTGCAAAAATGTAGCGAAATTGCTAAAGTGTTGTTTGCTCACAACTTGAACTGATTTAATGGATGAGTTTATAGCCTTTTGGCTTCGAGTCTCATGCCAGTTTTGGGCAACTCTATATTAGATATGGAATACTGTATATGTTCCAGCTGCCGAGCCGCATCTCTTGGGAAACCTATCCTGCCCAACCGTCATAATTAAGAGCCGCAACCACGGTTGCTAATTAACTGGCGCGCTCCAAAAAGTGTGCCGTGTGCCAAATATCTAATTAAAGCTAATCCTTTTTTGCATATTGCTCTATTATGGCGGGAAAGGTGAAGGGGGAGACTAATTGAGACTACTGAGGATAGTGCGATGCGGTGTCATTTGAGCTGCAGAGTCGTGCCTTTTATTTTCCGTTCCACCTGCTACTGTCTCAGTCGCAGTTTGCATTTATTTCGAGCTTAGTTGTGTCCTTTTTTTCGTTTTAAATTTACTTTTAACGTGTATCGCAGCTATTTTTGACCTTTTTCTCATTTCACTTGATCTCTTTAATTCACCTTGACTTAAGTAACTAGGTATATACTCGTATTTTGTTTTTGGGAATTGGATTATACTACTTTCACTACTCTTGTTTAGAAATGTACTTTGTTTCCTCTTCGGTGCGAAGTTCGGCAAAAAAAAAACAAATCAACACAAAGTCATTGTTTTAATAATTAAATATTTTAAATATTATTGCGCTACTTACATGCATTTAAGCTATTAAATTGGTTTATTTTCTTAATAAGTTCTGTGGAGTTAATTTTCATAGTTTATACTCCGTTGTTTAATTTAATTTAACTTTGGCCATTTGTGTGTGTGTGTTTTTTTGTTTTTTCCATATTTATTTGCTTACTGAAAATGCAATTATTTCAGTTTTTATTCGAAAGTATTTTTTACGCATTTGTCTGATGCTTTCATTTCGTTTCATTTCAATTATTTATGGTTTATTTATGGCTGCGTTTTTATTTCGTTTGATTTAATTAAACTTTACTGCAAAACGAATTCCTTGCCTTGCCAGGCTCATCTCTCGGACATTATCCAGTTTACTTTTCTTTTTTTTTCTTGTTTGTGTTTTTCTGTTTTTGTTTTTTTTTTGTTTTTGGCAGTAAACTTTATGATCAAATTTACGAGTAACGAAAACCAAATTAAAAGCGTAATTTAATCTATCCAAACAAGAGACGAATTGAAATAAAATTGAATGCATATTTAATGTCCGAAGCAAGTTCTGTACACAAATTGTCACTTCAATCATTGGTTCTGTCAACAGTTTTTCGAATCCACGACATTCTCTCTCTCTATTATCAGAGGAGAGTCCATAAATTCAGTGGCAATTTATGGGCCGCTTTCCGTCCCATATGAGCCATTATACATTTTCGAAAACTTTCTCTGGGCAAATGATATAAAAACATTCGACTATCAGAAAATGTCATTTAGAATGTTGTCAGATTTGATTTATGCTTGGCCATTTCCGTGCAAACAGTGGAAGCTCAACCTCAGATGCTGCCTGGCTGCCTGGCTTCTACCGTTTTCAATAAATTTGTTTTTCAATTTTATTTCTGTTTGCGTTCTATTGGAAATTTATGCAAAAAAATGCATAAATTACGAGGAAATCAAAAACAAGTAAGCCTAACAAAATGATTAGGATGCTCTACTTTTGGCAATAAAAATAAATAATTAACATTGCTTTTTGATAGATTTGACTATTTATTTAAAAGTTGATAACTAAAAATTATTATTTAATTTTTTAATCTTAATCAAAGTAATTAATAATTGCTGCCCAAAGGATTGCTGGACTTGGGAATACCCTTTGTAAGGGCATTGAAATGTCACACCTGTCACAGGAGAAAAGCCGCATGTGTAAATTTTTATTGCCTACCTTTCTGCGCACTCTCTCGCACCCGCTCTTGTTCGCCGAGTTTGTAAGTGTTTGTGTGTGCGTGTGTGTGTGTGGCTCTGTGCTGTGCGTGTGAGTTATGTTTTCACAACCATGTGGATTTTTTTCGCTTTGTCCGCATACATATACAGTTATTTGTTTATGCTTCTCTTTGTGCACACTTACTTGGCATTTCGTTTTCATTTCGTTTCGGTTTCGCTTTCGCTGCTGTTTTGCTTATTAATTTTACACAAAATGCCATTTAACTTAGTTGCTCTTGCGTCTGTTTCACTTTCCATTTTTTTGTTGTCCTGCCATTTAACTGGATCTGTGTCTGTGTGAGAGTTTGTGTTTGTGGCTGTGTTGGTGTGTCAATAATAAATCACATTTAATGCAATTTACAAAAAAACATTACGTTCGCACGTTCCGGTTGAAGTTTTGTTATGTTCCATACTTTTCTTATCAGAATTGTGTTTATTTTTATATATTTTTTCCTCTGTTGCTGGTGATTCCCTAATTTATGTTTATTGCTGCTGCATATCGCCGCCATTGCCCAGGCCAGCTTTCGACTCCGGCGGCACCTGTTGTTGGGAATTCAAATTTTTTCCATTAAAATAAAATCCATAAAATTGCACATAATTTTTGACATTTAAGAGCAGACAGAGTAAGAGTTAGTTAGAGTTATAGAGAGAGAGTGAATGGAATTGGAAGAGGTACATGTTGTTTTTACGTGAAATATAGTTAAGCACAATCAAAGCATAGGCAAACATTTATGTTAAATAGCAGGTTTGAGTCTGTGTGTGTTTCGTGTCTCTATCCTGGACAAAAAGGAAACAATGCTCAACGCAAAAACAGAAAAAAAATAAGAACAAACACGCACACAATGACACACAAACATACGCCAAAGGATACATTCGTATGTAGGACAGCCAAAACAATTTGTTCGAGCCAAACAAAGGATCTGCGGGAATTTTGGGGGTAAAGACCAAAAACAAAAAAAACATATACATATAAATATTCAAGGCGAAACTTTCAGAATAATAATAGGAAAAATAAGCTCCGGCATAAGGGGATATGATGGGAACTCATACAAAAAAGCAGTCAAGAGCCAAAAACGGAGACTGAAACAAACTTGGATAACTAAAAATAAACTCGAAACTAAACTGAACTAGAAGCCGCCATACTCCGCTCTGGGAAAAAAGGACAACACATACGATTAACTCGGGGATGTGGACCTTAAATCAGGTCTGGCCGGTAATCCAAACTAAGCCTAAAGTGTAACAAATGTAACATTCAGTCTTAAATTAACAACAAAACAGTGAAACTATAAAAGACAATCGAATAAAGGCAGTAACAGGAAGTAAAAAATGAAATAAAGGCGTTTACATTTAATATATATTTGAGGGATATATCCAACGACAAGCAAGACGAAACAAAGGATTAACATTAAGCTTTCTCTGGTCCCCATTCAAGACTTTCAACAATAAGACATCGAAACAGCGAGTAAATGGCTTAAAGATTCAAATAATCTTTAACTAATAACAACATCGAAAATGAGAAATTAAAAGAAAAAGAACAGGAAACATAATCGACGTCGAGGACAAAAGTACGATGGACAAGAATAGTCAACGGCGACTGTACCTAGTATCGGTTAGGATGTGGGATTATGGATTTTCAAGCTTAACGGCCATAGAAACTATGAAAGTCCAGGAAATCCATGGAATCTGATTGATTTTGTTGTTGCTGATCGATCTACACGACGGGGGACGAAAGGACGAAAACAACAACCGAAAAATAGTAACCAAAATCAAATGGCAATTGTTGTGGTATTTTTGGCGGTGAGTTTGTGAGATATTATTTATTTTTTTGATTTTTGGAGAGCAGGAGAAACAGAGAGAGTTATATATTTATATATATTTGTGGTAGGAGAGTGGAATATAATACAAAATATCCAATTCATATGGGGCAGACCCACTCACCAGTTTCTTGAAGCAATCCTCGAAGAAGGCGGTCATGGAGCGGTACAAGTGTCGCTTAACCCCCGACAGACTGTGACCTTCGTCGGGATATATCTGCTGCTTGTAGAGGACGCCTTTGCTGGTCAGAGCTCTGGCCAGGACCATGGACTGCTGGACATGGACATTGTCGTCGGCGGTGCCATGAACCAAAAGGAACTGACGCTCCCTCAGGTTGTCCACGTACTTGGAGAGGTCGCTCTCCTCGTAGCCCTTGTAATTGTCCGTCACGTTGGGGAAACTCAGATATCTTTCGGCGTAAGTAGAGTCTATAATACATGGATTTAACAGTATTTCAAGGATAATGTTTTGCCACAACTTTTAGAAAGTATAAACCCACCATATAACTTCCAATTGGTGACCGGAGATACACTGATGCCGCACTGGAAGATGGACTGCTGTCCGGCCAGGGCCAGGGCAGCCGTGTAGCCTCCGTAGCTCCAGCCCCAGACACCCATCCGTCGAGCATCGATAAAGTGGAGGTTGTCCCGGAGGTACTCGCTGACCTCCAGCTGGTCGGAAACCTCCACGCTACCTAGCCGCTTGTAGACCTCGTGGAGCAGCTGGTACCCCTGACCCGACGAGCCGCGCCCATCGATCTCCACCACAATATAGTCCTTGCTGCCGGCTAGGTAAGTATTCCAATCCACGTGCCAGCGATCGGTGACAAGCTGGCTGCCAGGACCAGAATAAACATGCAAAATGGTGGGATACCGGGTGATCTCATCCTCTCGTAGAACTGGCGGCAAGAACAGTCGGACTTGGGCGTGATACCCTCCCGAGATCATGACCGGGAAGGTCTTCACTTGCGGCATAGCCGTCTTGGCCATTTTCTCTTTTAGTCGTGTGTTGTTTTGAACGGTAACCAGGAGCTCCAGAAACTGGGACTTGGGGGTGTCCTCGCCAGGCGGCTTCTCCCCACTGCCCTCCGTCGGTGGTTCCTCTTGCTGAGTGCTTTGCCGCTTGGCCTTGGGTCCTCCAGCAGGTCCTGTGGATTTCAGGCCATATAAGATAGAGGTGGGCACGACGGGGCCCAGGCAATCGATCAGGACATAGCGCGCCTGCAAGGAGTGCGGAAACTGCGCCTCGTGATACAAACAATCGCTGGGTGGCGGTGGTAGCGGAGCACTCTGACCCCTGCCTCCGGGTCGCTGCTGCTCCACTGGCAGCGCTGGTGGAGCCTGCTGGACTTCTTCCTCCTCGGAGTCCTCCCAGTCATCGTCCCAGGCGGTGACCAGTTTCGGTGGTGACTTGGTGTGGCCCTCCTCGACGCCATCGGCCCGTTGCGATACGGGTGGACAGGTCAGGCAGTCGGGGCTGTGCAGGGCCTGGCCTTGGCGGGCCGGCAGGGCGGATACGCGATATAAGTGCTGTTGCGAAGGAAGACGCTCCGGAGTGCCAAGGAAGTAGCTGAAAGATACAAATACTCAAATCATAAGCATCTGATGCCAATCTAGCTTATTTCCTTGATAAACGCGATAAGTCAGACTGTATTCCATACAAAGACGTTAAAGTTTAGTGGAACTTCACATCAAACCCCATTTAACTTGCGCTTCGAGGAGGGGAAGAGCACTTTCATTGGCATACAACCACTTACATCCAATTATCCAGCTGATCCCAGTGCAGCAATCGATTCACCTCGTAGGGCCCGTGGGTGAGGGGCAGGACTCGATTCTTGTCAATGTCCACGTGTACGATGTGCCGGAAATAGCCTGTGATTAAGGCGGTAGTGGTTGGTAGGACGGATAGTAACAGACAGGAAAGAGGCTTTGTCACTCGAAGGAACAACGACAATTTGGCATATGGATGACTCACCAAACAGTCCGTCGCGCAGCGGAGAGATGGCCACATAAACACTGGCGTTGGAGGCGAACAGCGGCACTGCCACAGTGTCCACCCACCCGCGTCCGTCGCCGCTCACTCGGTGGGTCTGGAACGGATTCGATAAGAGTGGTTTGCGTTTTAATTGGGGGTTCGTTAGCCAGTTTGGCCCCAACCGGCAGCTAGTTGCGTTTAATGGTAGGACCTACCTCAATGCACTCGAAGGTGGGGGCTTTGCAGACACTGACCACGGAGATGTTCTGCGGTCGGTTCAGCCAAACTACGGCAATCTTGGAGTGGCTCACCCAACTGGCGCTGCTGAAATAGTGGTCTCTAGATGGGAAACATAAAGGGTATTCCATTAAATAAGTCTTTAATAAACAATATCCATAAATTATTCAAACTTGTATTGGTTTACTTACTCATGAGCCAGAATTTGTGGCGGGCGCAGGTCAGTGATGTGAACTTTCTGGGGATCCTTGAGGTCAGCTACGCGCAGCGTTACCGTGGGGTTCTGTGTGCCTGGCTTGGGATAGCTGTCATAGGAATAGAAACAAAACAATAGCCAGGCATTAGGTTATAATCCATCCATCCGCATCCCCGTTCATGACTTTCCTACTTCACGATGACTCAACCCTCTTTAATTGGACAACCTTTCGGCACTGCACTGACACAGGACGTTGGACGTTGACCTTCGCCTCGGGCAATTTATCAAACCCAATTGACAGGGGATCAACATGTATGAGGGTATATGTGTATGTGGCAACACACGTTAATACGTCACAGCCCGTGAAGTTGGCCCAAAGTGTTCTTTTGTCTTAGGGCCGCAAACTAATTTTAATGCCCCGAACCTTTCGACAGGCATCACCCTACTTCGTATCCCAAATCCACCTGTGAAAAGGTCCTCCCACTGTCACTTCATGAATTTTAAGCGTGACGCTAGAAGGCTATAAGGCCATTAGGTCTAACGACTGGCACACGACCCCGAGCCCTGGGATGGGGCATCATTAACACATAATCGAAAAGTGATATAGCCGATTCGCTGGCCGTAATGGGGTCACGACTTACCGTAAGGATCTGATTTCCGGGTACAGGTTGGCGTGCGGATTACTTCCGGCCGACGACCCACCGCTCCCTGATCCTGCTCCGCTTCCATGGCCACCGCCACCGAGACCTGCTGACGCCGCTGCTGCAGCTGCAGCCGCTCCTCCGGACGGTCCCGTCGTTCCATACCAGGCGAAGTGCTGCTCCTGCACGTGCGTATCATTGAAGGTGGCATACAGCATCAGTTGGCCATTGTCGGACATCCAAATCGCATTATTTGCATGAAGGATTTCCTCTGGAAAAAGGCGAGAGCGAACGGGAAATTGAAATAAGTTGGAATGGCTGGACCATCAGGCCATTTGGGGCATTATAGCACGCTCAGTTCAGATAACATTCAAGGCAATATGGGTATTATTTTTTCCACTGTTAGTATATGCCCTATAATAGCCCCAAATTTCAGTCAAATAAGAGGCTTTACTTTCAAAGAAATTATAATTTTTATAAAATTAATAACTACTTCAAATTAAAAGCCTTTCAAGGAATAATTCTTCTCACCTTCGTACAACCAATCTGGTATGCCATTGTACACCACTCCGGGCACCGCATCATGGGTAATCCGATGCACCACGGGACTGCGCACCTCCTGCCTGTAGTAGATATCGTAGCTCTGCACCCAGACCAGGGCATTCCCGGAGGGCGTGAAGCGGGCGTAGTGCAGATACGGCCACTCGTCCTGGTGGCCACTGTGGCGCAGTTTGATGCTCTCGCTATCGGGGATTACCGGAGAAAGTGTTAAAATTTGTACAGATCTGGCAAATGGCATCTGGCTGGTACTCTCACCTGGTCTGAATGTCGTAGAGCGTGTACTGGGCCAGGTACGAGTGCCGGAACAATTTCACAACGTTCTGGGCCAGGAGCAGATATCGCTTGTCCGCCGATATGGTGAAGGTGAAGGGGGCCAGGGTTTTCTAGTTGAATGGAGGAAATGCTATTAAATGTTTGCTTGCAAATTATGTGGAAAACTGTTTAAGAGGAGGCGGCAATTCAGTGAACGTGGCGAACACGTTGCGTATACGCAATTTTAATTAAAATTTTAATGGTCTTTTCTGATTCGCACACAAATTGCGGAAGCTGGTTGGGTTTTTGGCGGATAGATGGGTTGAGTTTGATGGCTGGGCCTTGGAAATTTTCGAAATTTGTGGCATTGTTTATGGACCAGAATCCTGAATACTTTGTAGTGTATACAGTATACTAGAGTTCTGAATACGGAATGTTTGCCAAAGAGTTTCTGTCTTAATTTGCGAAAGCAAATTTGCTTTCCCTCTGTCTCTATACTAACAGCACTCAATCAAGAGTCTGAGCTGATGCCTTCTATTTAGCTATTCATTGCTCATTTCTTGTTTTACTTTGTGAGACGAAATAACTTTATCCTGGATACAGATCCTTAACCGGTCTATGAATATGCATTGCCATTATGTTGAATGTTTCGACTGCTCACTCAAGCTGCTGCTGCTGCTACTACTGCTGCCTTGGATTTGGCTGCACATTAATTATTTCCCACTCAACTGGCAACTGTTGACTGGCAGCACTTGTTGCACCGCCACTGCCTGCATATTTTTTGGCCCTTGAGGCACTCAAAAATCTTCGTTTGCCAACTTGGCAAAGGCAAAGGCAAAATATGGCTTTGGCTCATTCATTTTCATTTCCTTTAGTTTTCTTTATTTGTTTGTTTTTCCAATTCCAGCCCAGGCATTATTCATTAGAAAGCATTTTACCGCGCTGAGGGGGTTTCCCGCGTATGTGTATTTACCCAGCCATTGGCATAAAAATCTTTTTTGCCTTTTATCGTTATCGCTGGGAGAGGGTGAGGTGGGAGAGGCAGAGCCCCGCACTCGGTTAACGATAACTTGGCCCATTTGTTTCGCCCACTTTTGTGCGCGCCATAATATCAGTTAACATTGCCAAGTCGAGTGTGTACACTTGAGATATCTGCCTAGCGGCACGCCTACTACGCCTGTAGTCTGAGGCCCCTCCTTGGACTATATCTAGGGAGTCTGACAACTCCCCGACTCGTAAATAAAATGGGGCAAATATTTATTCAGCTCAGAGAGATAAGCAATAAGCAAACAAACAGCGGCAATAGTGGCCAGCGACAAAAACAGAGGCAAAAAGGATTTCTAAGGACATGGGCTGGTGGATCGCGGATGGTGGATGGAGGAGGGTCACAATGTACTTACAAATGTCACGTTGGACATGAGGACACGTTCCGAGCGATTGGCTGCATTCAGCAGACAGATGCGACCCAAATGGTCCTGATACAAAAACTCCTCGCCTGCAAAAACAAAATATAGTACATACAGAAGAAAAAAAAAATATCAAGGAATATCAAGTGAAGGGAGAAAAAAAAAGTGGGACGGAAATTAAAAGCGATTTGGCCGATGGAATGATGAAACCAACCAGTACACTTACCATCGATCCAGCTGCCGTTGGAGTGTTGCGGCAAAAAGAGGCCATCAACGATGTCCTGCAGCTTGATGCGCTGCCCCTTGACGCGAGGTCCTTCATCGGGGGGTGTGAGGAGCACCTTTTTTGATAAATGTAGAAATTTTATAGATTGTCTTCTGCACACAAACACACACTCGCAAACACAACACGAACACCAATAACACACACAACACAGCAACAGCAACAACGAATTGAACATAAAAGTTTCGATGGTGCGGGGGTAAGGATAATTTTTATATTTTATATTTTTCGGGCAGCCACAATAATTTGCAAAAGAGTAAACAAACAGACAAGAGACATAAATGAGAGTAACGTATTTACACAAAAATGTATTCAGATTTCTTTAAAATATATGTATGCGGGTAGGTGTCTAAATATACTTATAAATATTAATGGTAGTTCTAGTTTTCTTTCAGCCACAACAGCCCCCCTCGGTTGTTGGAATAAATACAAATACGAAAACCGCCGAAAAGCAGGCCACAAAAAATTGCTTTGGGGAAATGCTGAGTTTTTTGGGAACTTTTTTTTACGATCCCATCACGGATGCGTGCTTGTTTGTTTTAGCTTTTGTGGTGTGTTTTTTTTAAAGCGAGAAAAATAACATTAAAATGCTTATATTTTGGATAAAAAAAAATACAATTGTTTTGGCAACAAATTAGTTACAAATTGTTGTATTCCACATTTAAATAATTGTTTTATTTTAGAGTGCTTGTAATTCTGATAGTTACACATATAATTTGCGAATATATTTTACATTTTCCAACTAGGTTTTTGTTTTTATTTCTTTTCTATGAAAATGTAATTGAATTTGGTTATGGATTTCGGGGCATCTGGGCCAGCCAATGAGCCGAAAAGCACTAAAATTGAATCCGTTCTTAATTGCCCATAAATTCCCCTTTTGACAGAAATTTATATAAATTGGTAACGATTACACCACACAGAGAAACAGTATCATGCTACACTATTTAGTTTTAGGGAGAGACTTACCACCGATGTAACAATCAGGGCCAGGACAATTATTATGACCAGGAGGGCGATGAGGATCCCGCGCCAGTTCCGTTGGTTCGGATTGCTGGAGACCAACTGTGCGAAAATAAAAGAAATTACAAGAAACATTAGGAAAATTAATTGAGAAACGATGGAATGCAAATGCTGCACACATAAAGAGCACGTGCGGCTCATTACACCAAGAAGTTATGAAAGCCCGGCTATAATAAACTGGCCAGAACCGCAAATAATTGGTTGGCCAAGATGCAATTAGTAAACTGATGATTCAGTTTTCCTTTTACGCCTTCCATCGGTGCCTCGGAGCGTGTGTTGCCGGCCATTGAACCGTCTCATAAACGGTTTTCCTTCCAATTTATGTCTACCCCAAGGCCCATACACACTTACCATCCACAAAGCAAACAGGCCAGGACCAAAAACCCCTTGGAAATCAACGCTTAATGCATATTTAATGTAGTCAACCAACAATGGCGAACCAAAACCCAAATTAAACACGACAAAAACTAAACTCACGCAGCTTGTACAAGTTGATACCGATTTTTACGAGGAGGGTGGCTCAGGAGAGACCCAGGTCCTAGTCAGTCTAAGTCCTAGTCCATCATGTCTCCTATATATGTATGCAGGACCGCTTTAGTCGTATAATTAATTAAGGGGTCGTAAAACTATGTCTCTCATGTTAGATAATCAAAATGGAAAAAAATGGCAATGTATTAATCAAGACTGGCGTGCCAAACTGCTGGGGCTTATCAAATTTAATTGAGGGTATTCTTTTTTTAGATTATCTATTTCTAGAGGGATAAAAGATATTAATATTTAAAACTCATAAGATAAAATCTCCCTCTAATCGATAAAGTTTGCCAAGAGGAGGGCCGGGAGGGCTCAATTAAAATCGCATAAATATGTTGAAACCGCAAAGCTTCCGTTTTGGCCATTAGTGCCGGTGGGTAGAACGCGAATCTTAATTAATAATGCGATTCCCAGACAAATGGGGGACAAATAGCGAGCAAACACGTTCAGTATCAGGGCATACACGCATCCTTTGCCCGCATGTTTATTTATAAGCGCCCTCCCCCGACACATCCTTTCATCGGATATCGGAATCGGCATCGGAATCGGCACCTGGTCCCCCACTGTCCTTTGTGAATTTATTGCTTCCAGCGGCAAAGTGAAAACATCGTAAACTAAACTATCAAACAACAATAGAGACCTCAAGCTCGGCAAACTTTTGTGCGAACTTTTTTATTTTTCACTTTTCTGCATGAAAGCATTTTTCGTGAAATCATAATAATAATAATAATTTCCTGCGGGCACACGCGGCGTATACTTCATTTGTTTTAATTGAATTGAATTTATAGTCTCGCCTTGCCTCCTGACAAGAGGGTCAAGTCATAGAGTCCTTGGGACACTTGTATAAAAACAAGAGAGCTGAAAACACTTACGTTGATTGCCGGAAAGGAAAACATTCTCCGTATATATAGAGTATATGTATTCTCAAGTAAATATGCAAAATATACGAGCATAAATGAAATTTAAACACTCAACTTGATGAGTTGCTGTTAACGCTAAAGGAATTAAAAATAATGACAGTCATCAATTTTGCCAAAAAGGCCGCCACTTGCCACAAAACTCAATGAATTTACTTTTGACGGGCCTCTAGGGGATAAGCTAATTTTTTTCTTTTGGTTTAATGGAGGCATTCCATTGGATTATGGCACATGAGCGGCGTCTTCAATTAATTTCAATAAATTTTTAATGCCTTGCTATTAGGCCTGGCAAATTCTAAGGATATTCTCTATTTGGCGAGCAACAAAGTTTGCGTAGCAAGTGTTGGTGTTGGCAAATAAATGTTTCTTCGCAAACAAATTGATTAAAAGTTTTAATTGCTGTGTCAGTTGTTTAAAGTTACTGAGATATTGACAAAGATTTTCAGACTCCCATGGATTTCCGATCCTTTCGCTGCAATAAACTTACTTTAACCGAAGGCCGTTTGTTCTATGGATATGGTAAACTTTTGCGGCTTGGCTTGGGAATATATTGTAACCAAAATGGCACACAATGCGCCACTCGACATATGAAAATGAAAACGTAATGGAAGCGGATAGCGATATAAGTGCTCGAGAATAAAAAATTGCCAACCGAAAAAGAAAAAAATTGTAAAACCGGAAATCGTTTGCACTTTTTAATGATGTTTGTTCGTGAGATTTTCTTTGGTTTTTATTTTTTGCCAACTTGTGGTTATCCTGGGGATTTTCGATCAACATTGTTATCATTTCATTTGTTAACCAACACGGAGACCATAATGTCCACAGGGAATTACTCGCATACATATTGCGAAAAAGAATCCAGAGCTCCGAGTCCCGAGTTGATTAAATTCTTGGTTACCTGAGATTTAATCCACTGTGAAAACCCCAAATGCTAAAGTATTCCTTTTCAGGCACCATTCCGAGTTTAAATTTAATCCATTGGGGATGTGCTGGAAACTCTATCCCGACCAAAGGCGCAAAACAAACCAAATGAAGAGTCAGTCCCCTTTTCCCACTTTTTACTTTCACCGAGCTGGCCACGGGGCAGAGATAATGCGAATGGGGAAACTCATGCCATCCACATACATATATATGTATGTATATATATATTAGCATTCTATATATACACCTCTACAATCCCGATCCCGGCCAGAGAGCATTAGCTGCCTTTTGCGGTTGAGCTCGTCAGCTGAGCTGGGAAAAGTTTGCTTGCTCTTCGAGTGCAGAAAGTTGAAAGAGCCAGGACTTGCGGCTTCCAGGGGCGATAAGAGGGGCAGGACTCTAAGAGGAGAAGCCCGCCAGTTATTTGCATAAGTTGTCATAGTTATTAAGCTGTGAGCGTTAAAATTCTTTGCTGCATACTTTTAAGCGCATTAAAAATAGATGCCCCTTATAGTATTTGTCGTGGCCAACAAAAAAAAAACGGAGAATGAGTTCTCCAGAAGGGGGTAAAGGTCAACGGGGCTGCGGTATAGACACCACCCTCTGGCAGTGAAAGTGTCGTTTTCAATTAACTTGTGAGTTGGCTTGCCAAGGAGAATGGTTTCGAGTTAATCGCATTAGAAAGCAGCTGTTCGACAAAGACTAGGTCACCTAGGAATCGGTTCATGAATTTCGTATTAAGAAAATTCTCATCTTAAAATGGAATGGCTTGGTTGTCAAAGGAAAGTAATAGAAAATAAATAGAGTTTAAGCCTTATTAGTTTCGTTGGCTTTCATGAAAATTTTGAGAGCAGGATTAAAGAAGAATTTTGTTCAAAGATTGCCAATCGAGTTAATAGAGAATCGATCTAAGCATCGTTGAGGATGTAGAGTGTTCTTTTTAATACTCTTTCTAACCTGAAGCTTAAAAGTGCACACCCCTGCCAATCCTTGATGACCTCTCACTTTTTCAAAAGCTTGAACCTTCCAAAACTAAATTTCTACCGAATTTCGTCTGGCAATGTTTGCTTTTCACTCAAAGTCATGGTAAATTCATGGTAAACTTCTGAATCCAATGAAAGCTGACATATTGCATTTCTCTCCGAGGATTTTTTTCTTTTTGTTGCTTTCGCGAAAAATGTGAGTCCTTGGGGTAGTCCTTTGGGCGGCACCCGCGAAACATTCCATAAGGGCAATATTGCGTTTCCCCTTGGGCTGGCGACATTAGTAAGCCATCTTTACGGCCTGCTGCCTTCCTGGCAAACATGGAATCCGTAAACAGTCCTTCGGTCGGCGCGAGTGATTGCGATTTCGATGGTGATGGCGATGGCGATGACGATGGGAAAAAGGATGCAGACAGGCAGGGTGCATCCTTGCACGCTAGTTGTCTGACTTTCCGGCATGTCAGCTCTATTGTCTACATACCTGTATGAGCTCCACCTCACCTGGTGCCTCCTACCTGGTGTCCTATCCTCCTCCCTCTTACCCTCTTGTCAGGAACAGTTTAGCTCAAGGACATAACGGCAAAGCATTTGCTATAACTGTCAGGTGAGTGTGTATTTGTGTGCCAGGTGTGTGTGCGTCTGCCAGAATGTCAGAGTGTGGGTGCTCACCTCTATGTCAACACATACTTGAGCTTCCATTACACGGCCATGATTGCTTATTTTTATATTTTTTTTCTTCTTTGTACTTTTCTAACGTGTTCCTGGAGGTGTCGCGGCTGTCGGCGGTCGTTAAGTTGCCTGAATTTGTCAAAATAAAATGTAATATGCCAGGGCAGACACAATTGAATGCAACATGAGTTATTGTAAGGCTTTTCAGGGGGATTATTTATAGAAGGATTAACTTTTCCATTGCACATAGGTCTTGAATATATGATAACTATTTTGAAACCATTTCCTGATAAATTACAAGCTCTGTTTAGCAAAATTCTATATTTCCCTTCAGTGCATTTACAAATCAAAACTTAAACAAACATTTACCTTAAACATTTGATGGCTCTGCGAAATTTTGTAAAGCCCTGTTAAACCGTCTTGCGCCACAACACCTGTCAGCCATCATTAGCATTATCACAACAAGTGAAATAGATTGGATGCACCGTCAAACTTGATTCCACCGATAATAGATGGGCGAAAGTTTTCCCCCGAAAATCGCCCCCCACATATCGCTGGAGGTCAGGAGGTTAGAGGTTAGGTGGATTTAGGAGCTAGGTAGATGTCGTAGTGGAAATGCCGGCTAATTGATTTCCGCTCGAATGGCTGATTGCCATTTCGACTGGCTGTTTATCTTTGCAGCCGTTTGACACTCCCACACGCCCACAGCTCCCCCTGCTGCCAGCCGGCCTGCCTGGCTGTCTGGATGTCTGCCTGCCAGGCTGCCACCTCCTCGCAATCAACCTGCAACTTAGTATGCAAAGCACACAGTCACAAACACACACCCTGCCATCGCAACATCACGGACATGCAGCGCATGGCTAATTCAATTTGCAATTGTAGTCGGGTCCGTGTAGTCAGTCGTAGCCGAACAGAGTTTTGCATTTGAATAACATGCGGAATTTATTTCAATTAGCAGCCCGGCCGCAAAGCTGATTCCTCGACGCCACGAAAAATGCAGCGAGGCATGCGGAAAACCAGCTGACCATCAAAGTCAGTATCCGGACTCTGGACTCTGGCTGAACAGCGGAAAAGCGGATGACGATGATGAAAATGGCGGGAGGAAACTCAAGTTGCTCGTCGCCGAGTCGTTGAGTCGTTGAGCGAACTTTTCCGTCTCCACGAAGTGCACTCTTCAGAAGTTCAAATCAGAGTGAGTGGTGGCTGAAGTGGCAGCGTAAGAGCTTAGTCCGCCAGGACTTGTAGGCCAACTAAGGCCAATAATAAGCCAGAAGCTGAGAGCAGCTTAGCCAATATGTATCCCAAAGGAAAACTTGGCTAACTGGAAAATAATACTCATCATTGTTGACTATAACTATATTGTTGTTGTTATCATCATAACTATATTTTATGGTACTATTTTGAGTTGATATTATTATAAACTTAAAATATTTTAGATAAATTGCCAATGTTTTGGTAATATTTATCCGATGTGAATTATTTTTTTAAGGAAAATAGCTATAAAACTGCTAATATTTATCCGATACACAAATGTTATACCTTCCCGAGCTTAGATCTTTGAGTACATTATTTCTACATCTTAATCTGGTAAACTCAATTCTGACCTAAATTTCGAAAATTTTCAAAGGGGTAAAATCATGATTTTGGCCAAAAATCGATAAAAAATTTTAGTCCTCAATTTTTATGAAATTTGTATGCACTTTAAAGGTATTAGGATCCCTGATTCGCAAATGATTATCCTCTTCCAAATCCGATACGAAATGGCCTGGATATCGACTAAAAGGTGACTGAAAAGCCACCCACGGTCTTAGCTTGGTCGACAAGGTTTTCCGCATCTACTTACTTCAGGGAAATTGGCACAGTTTTGGCAATATGCCTCCGATCAACGAATGTTATACCTTCCCGATCTTAGATCTTTGAGTACCACAATTCTACATCAAAACTTGGCTACCTTAAATCTGACCCGATTTTCGAAAATTTTGACAGGGGTGACATCAAGATTTTGGTCGAAAATCGACTCAAAATTTTACTTCTCGATTTTTATGATTTTTAAATGCAGTTTTGAGGCTTTGTGATCCCTGATTCGAGAATGTTATTCCTATCCCCAATCCGATACAAAATGAATTTAATATTGCCAAAAATTTGGTTGAAAAGGTAGCCTTTTAGCTACTCCATAGTTACCTTCCACTACAGGGCTCTTATCACCCATTTATTTTAGGGAAATTGCCATATCTTTGCTAATAATTATCCGATCGAAGAATGTCATACCTTTCCGATCTTAGATCTTCGAGTACCACAATTCTACATCAAAACTTGGGTTCCTTAAATCTGACCCCATTTTCGAAAATTTTCACAGGGGTTACATCATGATTTTGACCAAAAATCGACTCAAAATTTTACTTCTTGATTTTCACAATATTTTAATGTAGTTTTAAGGCTTTTAGATCCCTGATTCGAGAATGGTATTTCTTTCCGAAATCCAATACGAAATGGCTTAAATATTGACTGATATGTGGTTGAAAAGTTGCCATTTTAGTCACCCTCTTTTTGACTTGGCCCTAATCGTTCTCCGCTTCCAATTATTTCAGAGAATATGTTATATATTTATTTCTGCTATATTTCTGGAAGCTATTTCTGCTAATAGTTTCATCTTTAATTTACTTTTCAAATTGTTCATTAAGAAGCCACTGTTTAATCTCTAAGAAATATCATGTTGAAAAATCTCACCCCTTTATTAAAAAGTTAATCTTTTCATTCTGCTGACGTCATTTGCCAATTTTAACTGCCTCTAATGCTTTCTTCAGGCGCTTTTCAATTTTCCCAGCCATTAAACAATTTGAAATTTTAATCCCAACGTCAATTTCTGGGTTTTGGGTTTAATTTTGAATCCCGGAATAAAAGTCGAGCAGGAGGGGAAGTAACCCTGTAACCCCGCACGCGAGCACACGTTTCTTGCAATATTTGTTTTTAAAATTAATTATGCCTAATTATATTTGGGCATAAAACATATTCATTTTTTTTTGTTGTTGTGTTGTGTTAGGTCTTTTTCGGATTTGGGTTTGAGTTCCGTTCTGTTCAGTTTTGGGTTCTCTGTCGGTTGTTGGTTTTGTACGCAAGTATAACAAAAGAAATTACCTCATCATCGTAATTATCCTGCTCAGGCATGACTCGATGTTTGTTGGCTTAAAGCGATGGATTTGGCGGAAGTCCGAGGGGCTGGCTGGGGCGGCTGGGATGGTTGACAAATTAAAGAAGCCGCCGGCTGTTGTCTTCGACGACGACGACGACGCCCAGCTCTTCTTTCGGTGGCTGGTATGCTATGCTTTTTAGATTGCTAATCGAATCTATCAATTTCCTTAGCGATAATTTGCGAGCTCTCCGAAAATTTGTCTTATTTTGCGATTCAAGTGGCTGGCTGGCAGGCGCATCAGCTCGCTGAGGATGCTGGCATCTTGTGGGGCTCGAGATAGCTGGAGTTACTGCCTTTGGCCGGCGGATTCTGGTTCATACTTTTGCGAATTATTTTGAAGCGCGTCCTTGACTCTTGCCAACTGTCCTTCCAACCATCTGGCACGCTTTCACTCCGCCTCTCCTACTCGTAATTTAGCGTTGTTGCTAATTGTGAATTGGTGTTGCCTTTTGACTTAGGAACTTGTCGTTTCTGGTCGTGGGAGGGTGGTGCAGGGGTAAGAGGTCCTTGTAAAATGCGCTTTTGTTGTTAGTTTTTCCCGCTGGCTGCTTCCGCCTAGACTAATGAGCATACATTTTCAATTTTCCCGCTCCTGCTGGTTTTCAGTTTTCAGTTTTCAGTTTTTGCTTTGTTGTCTTTGTTGGTGTAGCTGCCGCAGTCGTTGGTGTAGCTCTTCTGACACTAATGATGCAGCATACTTTTAGGCCAAGCGCTAAATTGGAATAGAGTGGGGTTGGGACAGGAAGAGAAAACACACGTTTTTTTTTTAAAATTCAGTTTTTGCTTAAACATTTTTGTTAGTTGTTGTTGCTGTTCATCTTCTTGTGTTGTGTGTGTTATTGCTGTTGTTGTTAGTGCCAATTTTTGTGTTGTGCTTTTAGCCTTGTGAGTGCCTGTGAGTGCACGTGTATGAGTGTGTGTTTGTGGGGAACTTATATAACATGACACATGTTTGCTGCTGTTTCTGCTGTTGCATACTTTGGGGCTGCTTAGCCTGCACTTGTCTCTGTGTGTGCTGGGCTTCTCTGGCATTTGAATGTAGGTTAAGTAGTCTAGTGTTTAAATATTTGCATCAACAAAGGCCACTGCCCAAAAGCAGGCAATGTTACTTTCTAATTACAATGTGGTGGTGGCGTTTCTGTTTTATTCTTGTGTGTTTTTACTTCAACATGCAGGTGACCCCAAAAAAATAAACACAAAAACTAATCTGTTTAGTATGCAAAATGTTGCATGCGGATAGAGAGGGTCGAGAGGGGATGGCATGTTGCGCGCCTTTAACACTTTAAACATGGCTCTGTTGTTATATGCAAATTTTGATGCGGATGCGGGGTGGCTGAGTGGAGTGTTAATAGCATTACATTTTCAATTTAAGTTATGGCAAGTATTTTTTTTCCTGCTTTCCTTCTTCTTGGTAAGCCTTCTAAGCAGCTTATTATGCAAAATGCATGCACAGTGAACGATGGTTAAGAGGGCATATGGGGGAAACTATTTACAGCTGAGTAGGTTCTTGATTTAAATTATGGGTTATTGATTCAGAAAATTATTAATTAGTAGGAAGAAATAATGAAGAGATATTCAGGGAAAGACTAGTTATATTAACAAAGACCAGATGGTTGCTAAAACAGAAGCCATCTCAACTCCAACTACTTGTAGAGCTCCAATAGGATCTAATGCCTATTATCCCCATAATCCTTGACATAAAATAGTAGAATGTAGAGAACACATAATGGCAGCAACAAGACCCGAAGAAGACAAATGATAACTCTCCTCTAAGCACTTTTCCCAGCCTTGCAGTCTCCCTGCCAAAAATACTAAAGCTTGATCTTTACCCAAGAGCAGCTTTGGCTTAAATGGCCAATGACACACAAATAATCTACAATAGCTCGGGGAGGAGCGGGACACCAAAGTGTGTGTTTATCATTTCCCTGAGTCATCTTTAGGGAGCATTCACTGTGCACTCTTCTTTGGAACGCATTACAATGCAAAAACTTTTGGCCATTGTGGGACTTTTTGCTTGGCTTTCTACCTCAACCCCGACTGACGGTCAGAACTATAAATTAAAAATAAAAAAAAAAACAGCATTTATATAAGAGAAGAAAATACAATCCTCGTTCTAAACATCACTTCGGGGAACAATGGAAATGTTTAATATAGCAACGAACATAAATTTCATTAATTTTTACATAACCGAATTGTTGGGAGAAGTTTTTGTTTTATGTTCCCAGTTGTTGTTATTTTTTTGGACTCGCTTGCGCAGCCAAGCAGATTTTATTGTTTTCGTGAAAATTGGTTTTTATTTTTTATGCCAGAACAATGTAGTATTGAAAAATTCTTTGCTTTAAAAACAAAATAAAAGGAAAAGTCATTGCATATTTGTCGGCGTTAAGAAGTGCGGTTAAAAGGAGGTGAGTTGACTTGAAAACGCAATACCAGGACCAGGAATGGCTTTCCTTTCTAAACACTATTTTCAATAAAAAATTCTAAACAAAATAGTTTGTATTAAATTTATTATGCAACCATCCTTTCAGGAGGTGCGGGAAAAGTTTATTTTCTATTTTCCATCTCTGGTATTTTTTGTATATACTTTGTAAGTGGGTTTCGTGTATTTTGTTATCAACATGTTGACATTCATTCGTGTGGGCGAATATGATATTCGTCCTTCATGACTTTTATTGTCTCTACCTGTGCTTTCCGCCTGACTTCCGGTCTGATGCAACCGTGCGTAAGTCGCTTCCGCTTGAGGGGCGAACACAGTGCTTCTACTACACATAGATACACCCACACTCTGCCACTAAAATATATCATTGTCATATGTTTTCCATATCGTGCTCTTGACATTTTCAAAAAAATTTTAAATTTATTGCTCCAATGAAGCGATACACGACTACATTTTGGAAAATATGAATTGTTGATTATTTGTACTGTGTGCTCCTATTAGAAGAAGACCCAGCTCAAAAATGGCAAAAACCCAAAATTCGATTGCCAATTTTGGGACAGAGGTTGGGCCCCAGCCGGGGGGAAAATCAATTGCAGTTGCTGGTTTATAGTACGTGTTGCAACCGTGGGCCAATTTGAGCGGACACTTTTGCGGCTTTTGACATCGCGGCTACGTGCCACTTATATGGCTGGACCGCGGCCCGTGATGTTGCACGTAAGCCGTAAACGTTTTTAGTGGATTTGTGGCGTGTCTGTCTGACTTGGTCGACTTGGCTGTTACGAGTCCCATAATGTTTCATTAGTGGCTTCTTGCCAGCGCTGCCAGCAGCATGAGCACGAATTCAAGAAATTTAAGAAAGTTCCACCATCTGGCGATCGAATTGGGAATTTTATTTTATTTCATAATTTATTGTAATAAGAGTGGGTGTGGAGGGCCTTACGTTTCACCCATTAACGGGGCTCTCCGTCTGCAATGTCCTTCACCAACACTTCAACAACAAAATATTGCGTAGCATAAAATTAGGCTGCCGTCATTAAATGGAGCAGAAAACACGGGGCGGCCAACTCTTGCCTCCTACGCCTCCCAGTCCGCCTCCGCCCACCCAGGGCGCCAGAAATGGCAAGGCCGTCCTCTGGGCCCCGCCTCCTTTTGTTGACTACGGCGACGAGGATTGCACATTAGTTTTAATGCATGTTTCATGCGCCATTAGGCTTAATTAGTGGCATTTGCAGCAGTCCCCTGCCACCTTGCCCTTCAGTAAATGAGTTTCACTGTAGCGAGACGGTGGTCCGGGGGGGCCTGGCTGAAATCCTGCCAGTCGGCCAGCTTTAACCGCCTGTCGTTGTGCAAGCAATTTTATTATTGTCGCCCCGGCCCAGCGTTGCACAATTTGCAGTAAGCTCTTTATACCGCGCCCGGTATCAGCGTTTAAGCCAGCGGTCGACGCATTCATCAGCCGTACATTTATTTTAAACGACCACCCCCGAACCATCCATACACGGAAGCGCACACGCAGCCGGAAGAAAAATGAAGATTTAATTAAGAAAAATAATAAATGCGTTCGGACCGCACTGAAGACCGGGCTTAAACCAGAGCCAAATAAATTGTCTCTTATGGCAGGACACGAACGAGGGTGCCACACGGCCTGTTAGCCTTGAAGCCCAACTGACATTTGTGCGGCATATCCCGAGGCAACAATGCGAAATGGCAAAATTAGACATTTGATTTGTTTCTAGATTGAAGTGCTTTTGTGAGAGATGAGATGAGATTTGAGGAAGGAATTTAGTTTTTGTTCCAAATATAGTCCTTCTTTAAATTTTAAAGCCACATTGTAGCCCCCAAAATATTAAGTTATGTGTTATGCTCAGCTGATTTGGCCAAGAACTCTCTTGATTTGAGATACTTCCGCCGAATGGCGCCAACACTTTATGGCCAGCAGAGCGGCTTACAGGCCCATAAACAGGCAGTGAAGTGAACAAAATGTTCGACATGTTTGCCCAGACAGCAGCCAAATTGGGAATTGGAATAAATTTTTGGGGAATTGGACCAAGACAACTGAAAGTGGCTCCCCGAAATGAAGTCGGCATAGTTAGCTGGGAAAGCAAATGGCCGAAACAGAGGCCGTAGCTAGGCTTGTCGTCTGTCTGGCGTATTGTAAAGCGAGGCATAAAAGCCAAATTAGAAGAAAAGTCAGCCAATGTAAATAAACAAATAAAGACGGCGGCAAAGGCAAAGGCAACGACAATGACAACGACATCGTCGACAAATGACAAGGAATAAGAGACAAGTTCATGTCCAGGCCAATGTCTTCTGGCTTCGTTCCGTGTTTGTTTTATTTCGATTTGTTTTTTTCGTATTTTTTTGTTTCGGGGGGCAATTTCAGTCCAAAATTTATGGCCCGCTTCTCCAAAGAACATTTTTCACCTTGTAACAGTCAAGACCATGAACAAAAAAACAATATTACATAAATGTTTCGTGAAGAGAAATACAATTTCCAGTCGTGCGCTTCCCAAAAATTATAAAAACAAACACGCCAGCCTCAAAAATGCGAAAATCTGCATGAAAATATTTAACAATAATAAACAGGCCCTGAAATGTTTAAACAAGGCTGAGAGAGAGCTGGAGACAATAGCTGGAAAATACGAAAAAAGGCACAAGTTCATCAAGATCAATAAACAAAGTGCAATCGTCCGGCTCCCAGAGATATTGTATAAATTTTTACCGAAAAACCAATTTATGTGGGGAACGTGTCGGCAGCGGCATGTAAACGATTGTGGTTTCAAGTGCTGATGACCCATTTGGGGATGAACGAACGAAGGGTCAGTTGTTTAGAGAGTTCCCAGAACGAAAGAAAGTCTGAATTCGGGAAAACCAGAACAAATTCCATTGAATATTTATACACAGATTTATTATGGAAAGATAAAATCTTTGTATTTATTTTTAATCTATTGAAATAGATTTTATTAAGATGAATTCCATTTTTTTCTAGTCCACATTTAGTCCATTATTTGATTTTATTTGTTGATTTTCCCAATATTTAAAACCATTTTCCATACCTTTCCAAATATTATAGCATTTCTCACCTTTCTGGTCATGATGAAAAAAAATTACTATAAATAAAAGGAAAATGTTTTTCTTGTTTTGGCACAAAAGCTTTTAATGCACAACTTGGCG